AACAACCTGCAACTGGTGGAGGTGCTTCAGACTTGACAGGTCGCCTGTGACCTTGCTGGTGAGGTGGAGGGAAAGTACCTGCAACTGTGTGAGTTTCGTCAGACCTGACAGGTCACCATGCACCTGAGTGTGTGATAGGTTAAGCTGCCGCATGTGGTAGAGTTGCCTCAGGCTTACCAGGTCGCCTGAAATTTTGGTTTCTGCCAGGACAAGTTTCTTCAACTGTGTGAGTTGGGTAAGAGCTGTCAAATCCCCTGTGATCTTGGTCTTGATGAGAGTCAGCTGATGCAGCTGTGTAAGCTTTCTGAGACCAGACAGTTCGCCACTGACAAGTGTATGTTGAAGGTCAAGCTGTTGCAACTTCGGAAATTTCTCCAAATTCGAGAGGTCTCCTGTGATTTTGGCATTGCTGAGATTGAGCTCTTGTAGGTCTGGAAGGTTTTCAATGGCCGACAGGTCTCCATGGAGCTTTTCCGACAGGTCTTCCAGGTGGAGTGCAACGATGTCACAACCAGCCCTTGGCTGCGAAGCGGTTGTCGATTTAGACTGGTCACGTTCAGTGTGTTTGTGTGATCAAAAGTACTTAACAAAAAATCACTGTTAAAAGCACGGAGCCATCCATGTACTTTGCGCGATGGCATGCGATGGCCCAACGACGCGGCCACAGCACATGCGCATATCACAGCTGATCACCGTAAGGCACCTGCGTTTCAACTCGCGGTTCTCGGCCCTTTCTAAGGTCTGCTTCCAGGTTTTTCAGGTCATCCACGCCAGAACGCCGAAATGCGTTTTTGCGAGTTCGCTTCTAAATATGTACTCGCAGCATCGTCCTCCTGTGGTGTGCTGTGTGAACACTGCTTTGGGCGCTGAACTCACACTCCCTGCGTTAGAGTGATTTATCCGGATGTTCGTTCTGCGTGATTTTTCTTGGTTGTTTTGGATTAACCTTGATACCACTGATACTCAGTTGCAAAGCCACTGGATCTTTCACTGGGTTCTAGCGTGATTTCACATCTCACGCACGCCCTCCCCCCTTCCTCAATCACTGTTCTTCATTCTGGTCGTTGTTCTCTTCTCTGCTCTCTTCTCCTTTTCTAAAAGGTTTGTTAGGTGTAGTGGAGGTTACGCCGGAGACTTAAATCCTCACAGAACACATCTTCTGTAATTTGCCCCTTTCCTTTTCCTTCAGGCTATAATGGAGGTATTGAACTGCACCCGTTCGTTCCTGGTTTTTTCTTTTCTTTTTCTCGGTCTTCTCTCTGTTCTAGAGGCTTTTTGGACCTCTTGGAAAGGAGAAAGCTGAGTCAACCTGATTCTACGGTTCTCAAAGACGAGTCTCCAAAGAACAGCTCCAGGAAGCAGCTACCCGATACGGTCTTCCTCTATCTCGCGTATTGAAGCTGCCCCCCAAGGCACTGCAACAAGCAGTAGCCCTCAGCAACCCTCTCCGCTTGACTTCGCAGCCAAGCAACAAACAAAGAAACCCAATCTCGCACCACCCAGTGCTGGGTACCCTTCACACTGCTCTCTCACATTTTGATACATTTTGTTCATTCCACACCTCACATTGAGAAACAAACTGCCTCATTCACCTCGCATGCCCTTTTGCGTTCCCTTCACCCACCCACAATTCCACCGATGGCGCCAACGCCTCACACAACTGAACATCACACATACCACTACGAGACTTCTCCACATACTTCAAGCCACAATTCAATCCCCAACACACCCGCCACTAGTACCATCAACACGACGGGTACACCTACATAGCAAACACAAGTCTAACAGACATGCAAAAATGAAACAGCTAGCGTAAAATCACCCAATCTCACCGGAGTTGTCACTCAGAGTTTGGCGTTCACAACGCAAACTACACCAGTGCTCACCACACCACCTATGATGGGGCCTGGCTACGCGAACACCTACACATTCAAGACTGGCAACCCTCCGTCAACTGGCCCTGCGTTCAACTACACTTACAACTCAAAGCAGACGGCTGGCAATTTGCCAAACACAGAACCCGCTTAGCACGCCGCCACCCATTGAACGCCTTCGTCGACGGCATCGCACCACCCACAAACCAATCTTACACCACCCGATGAGTCGATGAGAACATGCTTTGAATTTGACAGTACTTCGCCAAATTCAAAGCATTCCGCAGTGGCCGCTACACCGGCCTCGAAGTCTATGCCATGCGCAGGATGGCAGCGAGTCTAGAAGAACCGGACAGCTCACCAGTCCTTCGCTTGACCAATGCAGCCCACAACTATCGAAACCTCAACATTCCTAAACCCAACAGTCCACTCACCATTCCTTCTCCAGCACACCCTATATTTCAAAAAACCACCGAACAAAAGCTTTCCCGCCTCACATGCACACACTTCTCCCACGTCATCCCATTCCACCCACCTACCTGCCACTTGCGCGACGCAGCGCACAAAACCCTGCGTTCCCGCAAGAAACATTCTCCCAAAATCTCCCTGCCACAGACAGGCCACGCAGCTACGCTTTTCTCCAAAAACTGCTACAGTCACCCGACACCACACCCGTGATCGACGGACATTTTGACTCATTATGTCCTTGCCCTCCAAGACCTCAAACTACCTCCGAACCTCAACATATACCGACAAACAAACATGAACAGCACATACTTCCCCACCAAACATCATTTCTCCACCAATTTCACCACATCTTCCCAACTGGCTCCGTAACCCTGGCCTTTCGCTCCACACCCATGCCCAACATTGCCTAACCATTTCTACAACATCAATGGCACCAACATGTCCAACACATGCAAGGCAACCCCGTTTCACATCCCGCACACTCACTCAACGCCAACATGTCCTCACAAACAAAGTTGTCCTCCACCATGCCGACTATGAACTTCAGCATATACGGTTTTTTGTCCTCAACATTGCTTCCATGACTGCCTCACCACATGGCCCCTCAATTCACCACCGCCCAGCTACATCCTTCCACATCCTGCCCATCCCACTACCCATCGGGGTTCCGGAAAACCATCAACGCACCACACGGCGTGGTCTTTCCCAAAGCCGGACAGAACTGGCGAAAAGGCATGACTTTTTATTAGCTGCAGGTCTGTGACATATGACATATCCCATCGACCGTATAATCACCTACCAACTCCCGACCCACCCCGGCAAATCTGCGACTCACAGTCAGCCGACGGCAGACATCGATTACTCTTGTCTGGATGTCAGTCTAGGGCCCACACCATCAGGAAATACTCTTACCCATCCACATTGCCATCAGCAAGTGAGGAAACACTGATTGGTTTGTACATGGCCAAGGGCCGCCTCTGCACGCAATGTCTCACAGCGCTGTGACCAAGCAAAAAATAACTAGCTCTCACTTCCACAGTCACATACCGCTTCTATATTTCAGTTGCCATGGCAGTTTTACTTGGCTTGAATACTTGACTTGCATGGGTTCGCCCACACATGAACATGTTTTTCTCTCTGGATGCGCCGTTCGGGCTCTTTGCGCCCATCTCCAGGGACACTATGCTATTCTATTCTGTACTGTCACCATTTTTTCGTTCTCGGCTTCAATGCAACTCCTTCGATGCAATTAAATCTCTCAACCTCACAGGCTGCATGGAAGCTGTTTCCCTGGCCATGCCAACGAAGCTATGGGATTCAGCCGGAAGGGAATGTGGACGCAAATTCCTGCACCAGCTTTTTAATTCATTGCTGATTTAAACTCGCCTTTCCGTTCTTCACAGGGCCATTTCAAATGTTTCAGGTTCTCAGCACTCTGTCCGGAATTGCAGTACCTATAGATCTTCAAGGGTTACAGTAACGCACCACCCTGAATCTCGCTCCTTGGAGCATCTTTCTCAAGTGTGTGTCTTGCGCCCTCGCGCGCAGAGGTATGAGCTCTGGGTGATCCTGTTGCGCTGAAGTCTTGATTTTGTAGTACTGTTTGTCGGGTACCAGTGGTCAAAAACTGCAACAATTGATCTGGCTCCCTCGAAAATGCTTTTCTCTGCGTTCAGCTCAGTGTCTGAGTTTTTCTTATCTGTCTAGGTACATGTCTTAATGTTCTTTCAAGGATTCGAGGCACGCTTTCTCAAAAGGCTGTGGGACAAACCCTGAAAACTGACACACCAGTGACGAGGAATCAACACGATGAATTTCAGGACCTAGATGGACCTAGTCTTGGACGCTTTTAGTCTTCGGGGGTCACCCTGGACCACGAAATCTGCAGCCAAAGGCTCCATCGTATCCTTTCCCTCAAGTGTGGCTCGGCCTCCGCTGCATCGATGCCCAAGTTCTGCAAGGCTGCCCTCAAGTCGGACCACTGTGGACATTGACTCTTGTCCATCGCGGAGCGTCCTGTATTTAGCAACAAACATGAACTGGAGGTTAAATGCTTTGACGTTGTCCCAAGACTGGTACCAGGATGACTCCATGTGACTAGCAGGTGTTCCCCAAACGACATGGACTGGAACAATATAGGAGCCAACGCCAACCATGTTCCCTAGAAGCAGGTTGGATTTATGATTGTACGAATGCAATGTGATTGCAAGACCTGTCTTGTTTGAAAAACGAACGTTGCTATATAACTATATAAGGTATCAGACTTTCAGGCGCTGGAAGATTTACATGTCACAGAAAATGAATTACTTTACTTCGAGTGATCTCCACCGTGACATTTCAAAACAACCACGTTGACATCACCCTCGTTGTGTATTTCAGCCCATAGCACAAGTCCTTCAGCGCCAACAAGTCTTATTGCTTTGTCCGAAGCGAATGCTTTCATCAGGAGACCTGTCCCCAGCTGATTCGGAAACTTCCAGGGCCCAAGCAGTAGTAGTAGTAGTAGTAGTAGTGGTAGTCGTCGTCGTCGTAGTCGTCGTCGTCGTCGTCGTGGTGGTAGTCGTGGTGGTGGTGGTGGTAGTGGTAGTGGTAGTAGTAGTGGTAGTAGTAGTAGTAGTGGTAGTAGTAGTAGTAGTAGTAGTAGTTGCTGTTGGACACAGTTCGGGGCTCGAGCTTCGGGGCCCGAACCTGGGAAACTTCCGGGGCCCGAGCAGCAGTAGTAGTAGTAGTAGAAGTAGTAAGTAGTAGTAAGTAGTAGTTAGTAGTAAGTAGTAGTAAGTAGTAGTAAGTGGTAAGTAGTAAGTAGTAAGTAGTAAGTAGTAAGTAGTAAGTAGTAAGTAGTAAGCAGTAGTAGTAGTAGTAGTAGTAGTAGTACTGGTAGTAGTAGTAGTAGTCGTAGTCGTAGTAGTAGTAGTAGAAGTAGTAGTAGTAGTAGTGGTAGTCGTAGTAGTAGTAGTAGTAGTAGTAGTAGTAGGTAGTAGTTAGTAGTTAGTAGTTAGTAGTTGGTAGTTGGTAGTTGGTAGTTTGTAGTTAGTAGTTAGTAGTTAATAGTTAATAGTTAGTAGTAGTTAGTAGTAGTTAGTAGTTAGTAGTTAGTAGTTAGTAGGTAGTAGGTAGTAGGTAGTAGTTAGTAGTTAGTAGTTAGTAGTTAGTAGTTAGTAGTTAGCAGTTAGCAGTTAGCAGTTAGCAGTTAGCAGTTAGTAGTTAGTAGTTAGTAGTAGTAGTAGTAGTAGTAGTAGTAGTAGTAGGTAGTAGTAGGTAGTAGTAGGTAGTAGTAGTTAGTAGTAGTTAGTAG